TTTGTAATTCTTCATCAATTAATGCCTGGGAGGATGGAATGAGGAGCGCTCTCCAAATAAGCGAAGTAATAGCAGAGTTGACGAAGCTTGTGGGTTGGAAAGCAGTTACAGGGATAATATCTGGTCCTCTGTTGTTTTTATGGTGTACCGCAAAAGTTAGCTCCAGAGATCTATGCACTTCTAAATCTAAAAAGGAAATTGTATTATTTTGCTCCTCTTCTACAGTAAAATTGATAGAAGGATATATTGAAGCTAGCATTTGAATAAATTTGTCTAAATCCTCTGCAGAACCATCCCATGCAAGCAAGATGTCATCGACNAAATAACTTTTCTCTTTATATTTTATCAAATCATTACCTGTCAAATCGGCTGCAAAGCCAGGTAAAATGCCTTTATTTCACGTTGACATAATAGTGATCAAGCGAGGTAACGTGAAATCAGCAACCAATATGGCGGACGATTGTTTTGTTGGGCGGAGCGATGACGTTATATCACGTGACTGCACCCCCTTTATTACTTCTAGTTATTATAAATCTTTATACTTTAACAGTTAAACAGACAGGCGAACTACCGAAGAACACCAATATGCTTACACACAATACAGTCGGATGAAAAAATAAGGCTCGATGTTGCCATCTCTACTTTAACGAAAACTATTGATAGTCAAAGACTACCGAGATAATATCGCGTATCGGAAAACTGTCAAAAAAAGACATCGAGTTCTAAAACACACAATTATCGATAATCTGACTGTCGAATGTTACGACTGCGTAACACTCCCTGCATGTTTGCTTGCATGCTCGAATTTGTGCTGTGCGTTGATTTCAAGATAGCGTAACATTCACCGAACTTTTTAGACACACCATGTATTTTAAATATCTTCATAGGGCTTTATTTTGAATTTTCTTGAAAAACCTTTGCGAAAGTCTTAAATTTTTATTTCGTGCATCCTTGGTCTCTTCTAAACATTCCCTGATTTCTAATAGAACCGAACTGATTACTTCAGGTCGGTAAAAAACCGTTTGTGTAATATTAGTGCCATTTTATGTCAGATCGAAAAGAGCTAAAATCGTTAATAATTAGGTTGACTCAAATATCTAAATTTTTATAGATTTCTGCATATTTACAGGTCACGTTTAATTTCATCTCATTTGCTGAATGGAAAGTGTGTGAACTAAGTGATTTTGTTCGCTTTTAAATACTGTGTATGTATATTTCATCAAAAAAAAAAGCCGCAGTTAATTTTTCAAGTTCATTACAAGGCAGAATGAGGAATAAACCAGAAAAAATTAATAAACGGTCGGTATCGGAAGTATAGTATAAATCCACTAGTTACATTTTTCACACAAAATACAGTACAGTATATCAAACCTGTAAGGCCATGTCTAACGAGTGTAGATATTACGAAGTATATAATAGAATAAATAAAAATACATACCTGAAATGTCACAATCCATCATTCGTCATAATCCACAATCATCGTATATTTATATTTCTTTGAAATGACACTCGAAATTGCTCGCAACGTGCAAACAACTGACACGCAGTTCTAACAACTCTTGCATCACTATTGGAGAGATCCAGTCTAAGCTTTAATTCGCCGAGTTTTTTAAATATCCTTGCTATCGTTTATGATTATCGTTGCCATAATATAAAGTCCTGATTATCACATGGATTAAGCTAACACGCATAAACAAACTTAAATAAAGAACAACATAAAATTTTGATTTATTAACGTAAATAAGTAAGTAGTTTTATAATTTTGTTATAGAGTTGCATTTATTTAATTAATATAGAGATTGCTGCATTCACTACAAAAATATATGCATTTTTAAATATTAGAAAATTAAATTTATATAGTAAAGAAAATTCTTTTAAACTTTAATACAGTACAGTAGTGATAATTATTAATTAAATATCATTACAGTATTTACTTAAAACAATAAACTTTTCACGTGAGTAATTTAAAGAAAGTTTCTATGCACCTTTTGCAAAAACAGTGCAGTGTTAGATATAAAAGTAGACGAATATTTGAATTAGAACTTTTTGAATGTTTTCGGTTTTTATACTTTCATATGTAGAAAAACATATAAACTTAGTAATTCAGGAGATAAGTTTAATATTTCTGGTAATAGTTATAATAATTTAAAATAAAAGGTTGTATAATTATTCGAAAATATAACAAACATGAATTTGTAATTTTATATCATCAACATACAGTAAACAGCTTATTATTTGTTTCTTTTTTAAATTTGTTACAATAGGAATCAAAAACACTGGCAATTCTTCTATTAATTTAAGTTAGCAAATTATTTAGAATAAATTAAAATGAATACTTTATCTTTAAAATACTCTTTTTCGATATTTTATTACAAATTTACGCATTCAGATAAGTTAGTTGACTATCTATGACTTAAGATGACATTGAATTAATATGATGATAACCTGAATACAGATCAAGTTTTTTATTATTTACAAATATAAAACTTCATGTAAAGTATACCATGCATTTATTAAAAGAAAAAAAAAAAGATATAAATTAATAAATTGTAACTCGAACCAGTTTAGCAAAATTGTTCTAGCAGGATTCAAGAAAACAAAAATTCTTATAGAAATTCACTTTTTTTTCACAATTTTAATCACTTTTTAAAAGAAACTCTTAATTTTTATGAATAAAAAACTATCTCCTCTACAGTAATAAAGGATTTACACAATTTTTGCAATTTACTTATGCTATGTGTTAATCTTATTTGGTTTAATCTTATTTGGCGATATCTAATAAATACAAATTTTATCAATTTGAAAAAATTGTATTCTTATTCTAAGATTCACTGAACTTGTCAAAGTATATAATAGAATAATGTATTAAAATAATTCTTATCTNTCGTAAACTGTTGAAAGTACTAGCGAACATATCTGAAATTTAACAAATCGCTGTCAATAACGCCGCAACACGTAAGTGTCATAATTTTAATTTAATGATAATTATAAATACAACTTAACTTAAAATGTGACTAAATATAAAATTACATTCATCTTTATATTAACGCAGTTATGAGTAATGGAAGGTCTCACATAAAGATATGTACAGTACAGTACCTTTCCTCCCATTCAAAAGTAAATTATAACGAACGGCTCTTGATAAAATATCACGATGAATAAATCCGCTTGTCAAATAATTATGAGCATCGAGTGATTTGTATGTCTTCATCTGAACCAGTCTGACAGCGTTAGTTATTAAAACCAAATAATTTACTGTGTCTCTATGTTCTATAGTTGGCCACGTGGTTAAATCGTTGGATGAAAAATCCGTTTGTTTCATTTCGTATGGATCCCATCCAATAAAATAACTTTTCTCTTTATATTTTATCAAATCATTACCTGTCAAATCGGCTGCAAAGCCAGGTAAAATGCCTTTATTTCACGTTGACATAATAGTGATCAAGCGAGGTAACGTGAAATCAGCAACCAATATGGCGGACGATTGTTTTGTTGGGCGGAGCGATGACGTTATATCACGTGACTGCACCCCCTTTATTACTTCTAGTTATTATAAATCTTTATACTTTAACAGTTAAACAGACAGGCGAACTACCGAAGAACACCAATATGCTTACACACAATACAGTCGGATGAAAAAATAAGGCTCGATGTTGCCATCTCTACTTTAACGAAAACTATTGATAGTCAAAGACTACCGAGATAATATCGCGTATCGGAAAACTGTCAAAAAAAGACATCGAGTTCTAAAACACACAATTATCGATAATCTGACTGTCGAATGTTACGACTGCGTAACACTCCCTGCATGTTTGCTTGCATGCTCGAATTTGTGCTGTGCGTTGATTTCAAGATAGCGTAACATTCACCGAACTTTTTAGACACACCATGTATTTTAAATATCTTCATAGGGCTTTATTTTGAATTTTCTTGAAAAACCTTTGCGAAAGTCTTAAATTTTTATTTCGTGCATCCTTGGTCTCTTCTAAACATTCCCTGATTTCTAATAGAACCGAACTGATTACTTCAGGTCGGTAAAAAACCGTTTGTGTAATATTAGTGCCATTTTATGTCAGATCGAAAAGAGCTAAAATCGTTAATAATTAGGTTGACTCAAATATCTAAATTTTTATAGATTTCTGCATATTTACAGGTCACGTTTAATTTCATCTCATTTGCTGAATGGAAAGTGTGTGAACTAAGTGATTTTGTTCGCTTTTAAATACTGTGTATGTATATTTCATCAAAAAAAAAAGCCGCAGTTAATTTTTCAAGTTCATTACAAGGCAGAATGAGGAATAAACCAGAAAAAATTAATAAACGGTCGGTATCGGAAGTATAGTATAAATCCACTAGTTACATTTTTCACACAAAATACAGTACAGTATATCAAACCTGTAAGGCCATGTCTAACGAGTGTAGATATTACGAAGTATATAATAGAATAAATAAAAATACATACCTGAAATGTCACAATCCATCATTCGTCATAATCCACAATCATCGTATATTTATATTTCTTTGAAATGACACTCGAAATTGCTCGCAACGTGCAAACAACTGACACGCAGTTCTAACAACTCTTGCATCACTATTGGAGAGATCCAGTCTAAGCTTTAATTCGCCGAGTTTTTTAAATATCCTTGCTATCGTTTATGATTATCGTTGCCATAATATAAAGTCCTGATTATCACATGGATTAAGCTAACACGCATAAACAAACTTAAATAAAGAACAACATAAAATTTTGATTTATTAACGTAAATAAGTAAGCAGTTTTATAATTTTGTTATAGAGTTGCATTTATTTAATTAATATAGAGATTGCTGCATTCACTACAAAAATATATGCATTTTTAAATATTAGAAAATTATAATCAAATAAATTAATGAAACTTAGACAACAAACTTTGAGACATTAATTCGAGAAAAAATTCCTAAAATACCGAAATATTTTGAAATAAATTTTTATTTTTACATAAATATATAATTTAAGGGAGTTTGAATTCAACAAAGAAATTTTATTTTCAAATGAAAATTAAAACATGCAAATATTTATTTGTAAAATATCTTATTGGATTTTTAAAATTAAAAAACTTACTTAAGTTAATTATAATAATAATACAACAGTATGTTTATCATAAGAATTTCCATATTGAAAATAAATTGATAGTAAATATAACATTCAATATAATTACATCATTTATATTACAATAGTTTGTTAAAGATTGTGTTCCAGTGAAAAGACGTTTTGATTGTGAAAGAACGTTTAGACCACCTCAAAAGTTTTTAAGTCTTCAATGTTGTCTATTTGTACAATTAAAATAACTTATTTTATTTTCTGAAATTACTATGAAGATGGTTTTCATATTCGAAACCGCTTATTTAACACATGTTAAAGATACTTTAAATGAACTGTGAAAATAATAATGATACACGTATATATCTGTTTTTCAAGAAATCCATTAAACTTGGTAAAGACAGGGTACCGATGATCCTAATTTTGCTTGAGTATCCGCATGGGCCTAAAATTAATAAATGTTAATTAATATTTTAAAATTGTATTGCTTATTAAATAATGACAGTTTATAGAATACATTATTATACTAAAATAAAATAAATGTCTTATTCTTTACTTCACAACTGGGTGCATAGGAATAAGTCGAAAATAAACATCAGTAAAAATTATCAAACAATTTTAACAGAGATTGATTATTTTTATATTCACTAGTGCAAACACGATTATTTATTGCATAAAAATTTAATTATGCATTGTCAACTAGTAAAAGCATTATTATTTTAATGTTTATAATGTTATCAATATTACCAGACTAGATTATTCCGAACTGCCACATATTTTGTTAAGTTATTTAAAAAAAATGAATCCAGGACGAAATATATATTTTAAAATTGTACAAATAAACAACGTTGAAGACTTATACAAAAAGGAAAAACTTCACAATCACTGGACGTCATGGAACTTTTAAACAATTTACATAAATATAGGCGAGGAAGAAAGAGCCTAAAAGGAAGGTGGACTCCGCCAGTGTCGATTGTGTTCCAGTGATCGTGAAAAGACGTTTTGATTGTGAAAGAACGTTTAGACAACTTCAAAAGTTTTTCTTTTTTGTATAAGTCTTCAATGTTGTCTATTTGTACAATTTTTAAATAAGTAATTTTATTTTCTGAAATTACTATGAAGATGGTTTTCATATCCGAAACCGCTTATTTACTTCATTTTTCATGGATGACCTGCACAACTCGATTGCTAACGGAAAAGTATGATGTACAGGGACAAGACATTACACTACTAATTTGAGGTGGAAAGCATATATTTTAAATTAAAGAAATTAAAATATGATTATAAATTGCAGCTTGGCATTGTGGCGATGTCATAATAAATAATTGCTCGTATATATTAGATTCTTCAAGATATAGCGTTTGGTACAATAAATAGAAAAGAGGCATTTAAACACACACGTTTCCAAAACTTAAAGACAGACAGCCATTTGTACATGAATAAAGACAACTGTAGATGAATACTGACAAATAAGGCAAGAACTATTACTCTACGTCTAACACAGGGTAATACACAGCAATTTTCAGGATTCGCAAATTAAAGCAATAGAAGTAAATCTTTGATTAAAAAGATACAACAGTTGGACATTGATGAAAAATTAATGGAAATTACTTATCAATACCCAAGATCTGTCAGTATATGTACACCTGAGATTGAGATGAAGCAGTCGCAACACCGTAGCAGGCTCGTCACATACTGGCTCGATGACTTTTGCTAGCTATCAACGCTAACAATTATGTTTGTTTAGTTTCGGACACGTGTGTAGTATATAATAGAAAAGAACAACTTAACTCAGATATTTCTCCGAATATTAAACATACTTACTTCATATCCTAATATACCATCACGAATGTTCAATCTTTCTTTTAACTTCCGTCTGAAAAGAAAAAAAAGGTATAATAAGATAACCTATTTCAATTATCTATATATTAATTGAAAGAGTTTCAGATTTCCCGACTTAATTTGACTAAACGGCCGGAGCTAAAAATACAGTTCAGATAAAGCTTTTACCCTGTAAATGATGCCGCTGTAGCAAAGGTACTGTACAATGTTAAATCTACGAGACAAACATATAGAATGTAAAGGAAAAGTAAATTATTCTAAACAAAAGAGAAAACTCATCACATGACCAAAAGATAAACAGAATAACAAATTCTCAAACCTGAAAAAAGCGTAAAGGAATTTCTAACAAAGAGTAAATAAACGTGAATTAATTTGCTATTTAGAAATGATCACTCTCTACAAAATAATTTTATTTCAAATAAAAAGCACAGAATAAGTGTTGTTTTGTAATGTTAAAAAATATTACAAAACAACAAATATAATTAAAAGCATAATAACTGAGAATCAAAGCACAAATAATAGCAGCAAGACAATCCTGATTCTTCCTGCATGCTATTTTACCATCTAAAACAAATTTGAACTCTTCTTCCACTACTGACTTGTGAAAATAATACTTCCCAGCGCTAAAGCCTAGCCTAAGGGTTAAAAACAATTTCGTATCTAGGTGCTGTATATACATAGCAAAAAAATTTTCAGAGTTTAGAGTTAACATTAAGTGTTTATAACAACATTGTTCACCGTTGTTTTGACCATTATAAACAGTCAATTTAGTTAATCTACTGTATGCTTCTTATTTTTTTCTATTTTTTGAATTATTTCCCTCATATAATCAATAATTTTACTGTAAAATAAGCTATTTATCTGAACTATCATGCTAATTACGTTATATAATTAGCCTATTTTTAATTTAACCATTTTCTTAACACTGAGGAACAAAGTGTAGATGTTGAGGGTCTGCTATCCTCAACATCTAGACAGCTGACTGAAATGAAATTTATTCTAGCTCAAGGCGATGAAACTACATAGCAAAATTGCGGAGATTAAAAAGCCTCAAGTCTAGTAAGTATGTGCGGAAACAGAGGACGGAATCGGTAACTAAATACAACAGCTACTGTGATTAGTCGAAAATGCCTCCTACGAGGTTGCTTTTTTTATATCAATTAAACTTTCTAAGTTTGTTTACAGTCTTATTACAAATAAGAAAGCCACAAAAGCGAAGAATTTGGTTAAGAAAAATACTTCGAAATCGTTTGAAGTTAGGAATATCAAATACTTTTATACTCTAATTATGATTACATGATCCCGATTACTTTATGAAGTAAGTACATCTGTTTGACAGTAATATTTAAATTGGATAGTAATATAGCGTATAAATGAAATATATTTACGTATTAGCATATAAATAATGCTTGTTTTTTTGCCATGCTGACCGTCATAGTTCAAATGCTATTGTCCCACTTGATGTTTATGACTTCATTGCTAAACGATCCTCCTATTAGTCTAATTTTTACCGTTCCGTTTCCGGCAAAAGTGAAGTCATCTTGCCATTCCGTCGATGGTTTCCATGGTCCGTTTCCACATATGAGTTGTAGGCTTTAGTGGTGTTAGAAAACGCAATTGAGATAGGAAGTACAAAGTCGCGAGAAGAAAACGCGTTACGGTAACAATGGTTGAAGAAGTCATCGTTGATTCTTCTCAAGAAACAGAAATTCTTGATATCGTAGAAGCTTTATACAGGTTGGAATTGGAACCGTTCAGACATCACAACAAGTTATTGATTTAGACTTTGCGTCTGATTTTGGGGCGAAATTGAGCCATTAGTTATTTCTTTAGCCACAAATGCAAGATTGTCTTCTCGAAATAACCCTCGACCTGAACGTTCAATCAACTTATTTCGATTTTGGACCGCTGTCCCAAACGTACCCAAGTTGTTTGGCTTTACGTTTTGAATGCGAAAAGTTCGGTAGTAGAAACATCTTTTATTTTATTGATTGTTGCCATAATGGAAAAGCAAAGTTGTATTCTACTCGTTCTCATGAGGTTCTTTAAAACGCATATTTAAGATCAATGGGAACTAACGATATCACCAGTAAACGTTTTAACAGTTTTATACAATTTCGCAAAGACATAGCCTCTATAGAAGGTCGTCTTTGCGATGGAAGACTGTTTTGTTCCTAGTGATTGGACATGCCGGAATTGGTTTCTTCTATACTTTTTAAATTCTGAAATAAACCAGAACGTCTGATTGTTGTTAGATCTAAGAGTTTTATTCGCGAGGTGATTGGCAGAGGTAGGCAGCACAACAGTCACCATTAATCGAAATCCTCGCCAATTGAAGTTGGTTGGTCTCAAGAATTCTAAATTGCCACTCTAGGACCCGGATGCAAAATTGAAAAAATTCTCATGGCATCGGGAACAGACAGACACACATGTATAGACGGAACCGGAAAACATTTTTTATACCAATGATTTTTGCATAGAATTACAAATTTTAATTGAATAAAATCTTCGACTTTGACCCTGTGTTACTGCTACTTTCAATTATACTAAAAGCGTTTTAAAATACCGATGATAAAAAATAGAATAAAGCATCATATTCTAATATTCTTTATAGCTTTTAAATTAAATATTCAAATATAAAATAATCTGTTAACAAATTTAAAAAAATGTATATTAACATATTTACGCTATGCTTAAATATCTTATTACTTGATGCCATTTTAATATATTTTTTACGTTAAAATAACTGTACATCATAATGCCATTTTTAAAGATTATAAATTAAATATGCAATACTTTTTATTATAAGTTATATTCACACACACTACATAGATTTTTAAGAAATAACATCTTAAAAAAATGAAACTAAAAATATTTTTCAAAATTAGACATTAAGTAAAATAAAATAATGAATATATAAAAATTTGTACGAAACTGTACTTTTCTGTGGTTAATAGTCTATTATGTATATAGACTATTATGCAAATTACGTGTAATTATGTGCTATCATAGAGTATTCAACAAAATATTCAGTTTTTCTACTGTTTCTTCCATTAAGAAGCATAATAGTAATCCGTAGAATGAACATTGATGAAACATATTACACAGATTCAACGAACTCAACAATAATTAACCTATTAATTAATAATTTATTATTTTGCCACCAGTGATATTTTTGTTTGTTCCTCTATCATGTGGCATTTTATTGGATTATTTAAACCAACAATACTTGCAGAGCCGAAATAGAAATGCATTTTAATCATATTCACTTTATATTTAAGTACTGATATATGTCTTTAACATTTTCCCGAATTTTTATTTTAAAAAAAATATGAAAAATAGTCTATTTAAAAGTGAAAATTGTCATCGTTTTCATTTATCATTTAGTAAAATCAAACATAGATTTACTTACCCTATTTTGATATTACTTTCTGAGTTTTTGGAATTTGAGGTCCATACTCCAATTTTATCAGTATATTTTCTAATATTTATTACAGCTCCACATACTTCATTGTCCTCTTCATCAAAGGCTTCTCCAATAAGGCACAAAAGCTAGAATATGATTTTAATTTGATTTAATCATTTCGATTTATGATTATTTCGTGATTACAGTTTTTTATTAAAACCAGGATACTAAGCAAAAATTTAAAAAATATATATATTTATAATAAGAAAATAAATGTAATATTTATTTATTAGAATTAAAACACAGTGATTCGGTAAATTAAAAATTAAACGTTATTCATACAAATGAAGTTAGTCTGCTTTTTGTTTCTGCGCTATACAAAGACTGGCGTTTTAAAGTCACTGGATAATGTTTCTTGTCTTAATTTGATGGGTCCAATTTCTCGGTGCTTAGTTGATATAAGAAAATCACCAAAAAAAATCGCTCTGCCGTTCAATCGATTTTTTTTTGTTTATTTAACCATTCTACTTATTTCGAGTACGCGAATTAAATGTAATTTTAATATACAAAATTAATCTCATCATTGTTATCGATTGAAATAAACCAGCAACGAATTGTTCAACATTCCCTGCAACATTCTCATTTATATATATAGATTGTTCGAATAGCCTAGGAATTTATAAAGAACAAACAAACAAACATTTTTATTTATATATACAGATGATTAAATTCATATCAAATCAGTGAATCATTTGATAATAAGAAGTATTCCAAGAATAGTGTATTTTGAACGTTTAAGAATTAGTAAGTACGAAATATAATTATAATATCGAGAGACACTTACTGTTTCCAACCAGTAATCGTCTAAACTGGAATTTTTCAAATGTTTTCGTACATTAATCAGCCACCTTCCTCCTTGAACATTTCTTTCATCTTCCCACATAGGTTTAACCCCGTCCTATAGAAAAACATTGTTGACAATTATAAATTATCACTTAAAAATAAATATTATATTTTAAAAAAATTAATAAAATGAAATTACCTTGAAAATAGAATAATCGGATCCTATTGGCAAGTTACTTGGCAATATAATATGATTAAACAGACTGAAATAATAAACACGGATAACAGAGATAACGTTATGAATAATAATAATAATATAGAAACTCGATATTTTTTTATTCGTTGCGAATTTAAAAAATTATTATTATTGATAATACATATAATTTTTTTCTTCCCGGCTCTTATGTATACATAACAATGGAAAGTATTAGAATCGTATCAAATTTGACCTTCCGAAGTTTTGCAAATCTCTACGTTTTGAGGTCCCTAAACTCAAAAAAGTAAAAGAAACCGGCAAAAAAATTCAGTGGATGTGTGTGTGTTGTCATCAACGCCAATTTCGTTTAATATATCAGAATGGGGTAAAGATTAAGAAACGAAATTTGGCATGGTACCTTGTGTATAAGGGACAATTGATGTCATTAAATTTTGGTGGTTAAAGATCTAGGGGTGGGAAGATAGAAGGGAGTCATGTGTCATATCTGGAGATGGATCGGACTTAATAAAGATTTTCCTCGTTATTAGCATTTATAAATTTTTATAACACTCACCCCTATTCTCAAAATTAAGCTTTTTGCCATTTTTATAATAATTTAAAATATAAAAAAATTTTATAACATAATCTCATAACAGATGGCGCTACACACAATTTAATTTATTTATTATGATTAATAGTACAGTATAAAAGTGTTTTTAAAATAAATTATCCTTACAGCCGGGAAAGTTACGGAACTCGTTACTAGATGTTTTTTAATTATTCTTTTTATATTAATAAAAGCAGCTTAGCTACTTTTATTTTAAAACAATGAATAAAAGCATAACTAATCTAATAATTATATATTTTGAATTATGTATAGCTATATTTTCTCTTGAATGAAAACTCAATATTTTCTATTTTTATTTTATTTTTTAATATTCATCCCTTTACTGCTAGGAAATCTTATATTAAAATAGCATAATATTAGAAAATTAAATTTATATAGTAAAGAAAATTCTTTTAAACTTTAATACAGTACAGTAGTGATAATTATTAATTAAATATCATTACAGTATTTACTTAAAACAATAAACTTTTCACGTGAGTAATTTAAAGAAAGTTTCTATGCACCTTTTGCAAAAACAGTGCAGTGTTAGATATAAAAGTAGACGAATATTTGAATTAGAACTTTTTGAATGTTTTCGGTTTTTATACTTTCATATGTAGAAAAACATATAAACTTAGTAATTCAGGAGATAAGTTTAATATTTCTGGTAATAGTTATAATAATTTAAAATAAAAGGTTGTATAATTATTCGAAAATATAACAAACATGAATTTGTAATTTTATATCATCAACATATAGTAAACAGCTTATTATTTGTTTCTTTTTTAAATTTGTTACAATAGGAATCAAAAACACTGGCAATTCTTCTATTAATTTAAGTTAGCAAATTATTTAGAATAAATTAAAATGAATACTTTATCTTTAAATACTCTTTTTCGATATTTTATTACAAATTTACGCATTCAGATAAGTTAGTTGACTATCTATGACTTAAGATGACATTGAATTAATATGATGATAACCTGAATACAGATCAAGTTTTTTATTATTTACAAATATAAAACTTCATGTAAAGTATACCATGCATTTATTAAAAGAAAAAAAAATGATATAAATTAATAAATTGTAACTCGAACCAGTTTAGCAAAATTGTTCTAGCAGGATTCAAGAAAACAAAAATTCTTATAGAAATTCACTTTTTTTTCACAATTTTAATCACTTTTTAAAAGAAACTCTTAATTTTTATGAATAAAAAACTATCTCCTCTACAGTAATAAAGGATTTACACAATTTTTGCAGTTTACTTATGCTATGTGTTAATCTTATTTGGTTTAATCTTATTTGGCGATATCTAATAAATACAAATTTTATCAATTTGAAAAAATTGTATTCTTATTCTAAGATTCACTGAACTTGTCAAAGTATATAATAGAATAATGTATTAAAATAATTCTTATCTTTACAGTACAATTTTTTTAAAATATTAAATTATTAAAATAAATTCAATACTTACGACCAGAAATCTTCCACAGTATCAAACGAACTTAATTTGACTAGACTGTCTTCCCATAGCTTACTTTTCTCATTCTGATGAAACCATAAGTTCCATTTATGTTGTAGCGGATGCTTAATTTCTTTTTCTATTCTTTCACTTTCTTTCTACAAAGGAAATACGTATAATTGAAGTATAAATGATGAAAGTTTCTATCATACAAGTATTCATAATAAAGATGTCGTTAGTTAATCAAAATGTTAATATTAAACTATATCTTCGTACTGATATATAAATTAATCCAGGATAAATTTATCTATTGTTTAATTAGATTGAATTCGTTGACTCGAGACACCAAATCTAATCCAATGTACTACAGTCAACCCCTTATAACACTGTTGATTATTCCGTTTTATATGAATTCCATGTTGCACGAGTCACTTAGATTTTACAAATTCGTGTGCCGGGCTGTAAACTGCTCACGTATTTGTAAAATCTAAGTGACGCGTACAACATGGAATTCATATAAAACGGAATAATCAACAGTGTTATAGGGGGGTCGACTGGTATGTTGTTATTTTTTTATTTATTTTATACATAATGAGGAATTTCCATACGATAGATGTTATCCACCCCAAATTAACAAAAACCTCCACAGTATCTATTTTGAATAATCCAACAGGGCGGGAGCTGAGGATTTTTTTCAAAATAAATACATAATAGGGAAAAAAGGCCTTCTAAGAAGCCAAATGAGTCCACTCTACACCGGCTCCATACAAGCTCTCGACGAACTGTATGGACGTCATTTCATCTAAATCAGTGTTTCTCAACGGGGGCGATATCGCCCCCATGTAGGCATTTTTCCTTGTTGAGGGGGCGATTAGTAACAATTTATATTTTGGGGGCCGAAAAACATTTTTCTGGGCGATATAGTAAAACATTATATTAAGAATAATTAGATATTTTATTCGTTATATCGTACTATAATTAAACAAATAACATTATACTAGTCACTAGTCTATTCAATGCAGTACGAATTTGGCGTTAGTCTTGACCCTCGGCATCGGTATTTTGTAGTGAAGGGGGCGACGATTCGTTAGAGGTTGAGAATCAAATTTGAATGAAATTCAGTGAAACAAGAGATCAGCATGATGAGGGATGATTTCTCGCGCTGATATAGTAACAGCATTCGAGTAACATGTATGATATCTTTACTATTAGAGAGGCTGCAGCGCACATTCATAACATCACGTGATTCAGTGAACGTCACGCATTGACTCACGGGAAATTTGTTGAAAAAATGGCGGATACATTTAACATCGAGGTTTACCAGCGAAGGCAAATAAACAAATTAAACTATTTTAAGATATTTATAGGATGTTTAATAACACTAATTATTTTAAATTAGCGTTGTGTACCGTACGATAGGACTACATCATACGTTTGTCGAGGGAAGCAGTCAGTGGCTTATGTAAATTCGAAGGCAGCTGGGAAAATTTTTAGAAAATTTACAAACGTATTACGCTGTTGATGGTAGAAGATGCCGTGGAAGAACAAACCTACTTTAAGATAAGCTATTATGAAGACAAATATATGTAAATTCGGCACTTGTGCAGTTTAGTGGGAACGGCTGTTTGAAAGGTTTTCTTCCATAAAATTAATCGATTCTAGACTAATTTGACTCGAATATTTCCAAAACACGTATAATGTTTTGGGAATAACCCATATAAAATATGTTATAAACAAAAAATTGTCGGAATACTTACGGAGTGTACTTCGCTTGTACTGAGTGTTCGAGCCATCGCTTAAGTTTATTTTCGTCGCGGAGCTGCACATCGGCGCACGAAGCTGTCACCCAACATTTTTCGGCACTTCGGTCACGTGACTACTCATCCGACGCGTTTCCTGATAACTTATTCTTTTTGCGAAGAATTCGCTGAAGTTTGGAGACATCATTAATAGAAATATTAAAACGTCATTCCATTTTAAATATGGATTAAAATCAACATATAATAACGTATGACAATGCAATATACAACTAATGATTCTGCTCTGCTTTTAAATGGCCTAATCTCTTTCATGTCTTAAACAAAATTGAATTATATTTATTTACATCAAGGCATTAAACATCTTATGTTACATCTGACTAATATTTATCATCATAATATACAGTGTCTTATCTAGGCAGGTGTAACAGGTGCACCCGCACAGGGCCCACTTGGAAGGGGGCCCAAAATGCAAGTATTTGTTTTATTATTTTCCCAAACCTAATTAATTAAGGGGCCTAAATGCAAATTCTTGCACAGGGCACAGGAATGGCTAGTTACGGCACTGATAGTATATATCATGATAAAATTATTGTCGTTAGCGAGCGTTTTACCTTTGTTGCTTCATATAGTCAATAATAATAGTAAGTAATTTCTAATTACAATAAAAATATTATAGTATATTATGATCTATCACGTGATGTCTCCAAAGTTCAGCAAAAAAGAAGTTATCAGGAAACACGGCAGAGATGAGTAGTCACGTGACCGAACAGTGCCGACAAATGCCACGTGACAGCTTCGTACGACGATGTGTCGCTCCGCGACGAAAACAAACTTAAGCAATGGCATCTTCGAACGAAGTACACTCGGTAAGTATTCCGACAATTTTTTGTTTATAACATATTTTATACGAGTTATTCCCAAAACATTATACGTGTTTTGGAAATATTCGAGTCAAATTAGTCTAGAATCGATTAATTTTATGGAAGAAAACCTTTCAAACAGCCGTACCCATTAAACTGCACAAGTGCCGTAAATTCTATAGGCACTTGGCATTACTTGCTAAAAAATTGAATAATTAAATAATTTCTGGATTAAAATCGTCTGTTTCTTTACAATATTATTCGTAAATGCTTAAATAATCATTATTTTAATAAAATAGGTCATAACTTTAACTTCAAACACAAAAAAAAGAAGTTTAAACCAGGGCTGTGGAGTTTTGGTGTGTTAGCCGGAGTCGGAGTCGGAGTCGTCAAAAAATCCGCCGACTCCGACTCCTTTTTTACTTCCCAACTTGTTATGTATATAAAACGGAAAAGTATTAAAATCGTGTCAAGTTTGACCCTCCAAGTTTTCTTTTGCAAATCTACACGTTTGAAGACCTCCAGAACCCCTCAAAAAAGTCAATAAAAGGGGAAAAATTCGTGCGCCTATGTGTGTTGGCGTCTAATTTGTTTAATTTTTTATTTTCTGTTTTGAGATACTAAACAATATTTCAGAATGGATAAAGTGTAAGAAATGAAATGTGACACTATAGCTTGCGTATAAAGGGGGCACTAATACTATTAAATTTTGGTTTATAATTAAAGGATCGACAGGCGAAGACATAAAAGTGGTCATGTGTCATATCTCTTAATGAATATTTTACCGTTATTAGCGTTCAAAATTTAAATAAAAAAATAAAATTCGTCTCTACCCTCAAAGTAAGATTTTTCGTCATTTTATAACAGTAGGCCTACATTAAAACCCGTTAAGATGTTCTCGCCTAAGATGTCAGAATGTATATGGGACATGATTTAGTTCAACTACTTTAACGCTTAATAACTAACTCTTATGTTAAACCATCTGACTCCGATTCTGACCACTTTGACCACAGAAATTATTAGGCTTCAAACAGGGTGAACAAAATCATGCCCCAAACACAGTCTAACATCCACACATATAGAAAAATCCTCGAATCTTTTGTATATCTTGCAATTTCACGGTGTCCTGAGTCCAAAATTGTAAAAATTTTTGACCGAGCGCTACACTTTCCCTCTGTTATATATAACAGCCAGAAAAGCAAAAATTATCGAATACATATTTATATATTACTTAGAGGAGTCTTTTAGCTTTGGAATAAAAAGCTTCTACGTTCTATCTTTATTAGGCCCTGTACACACTAGGCGTTTTTCAACGCGCGTTAAACGCTCGTCGAACGCCGAGCGTTTAGCGGAGCATGCGCACTGGCTCGGTTTGGAAATGGATGTGGAAGTGATTGCTTGTGTGTGGCTCCTCTATCGTCGCTATAAAAGACGACGGCGGAGGCAAAGAGAATTTTGNTTCTTCACGTACGCTTGGCCATTACAATGTGCTGTGAATAATGCAAATTATATCGAATTTACATTTAATTTAAGTAAAATAAAATAATGAATATATAAAAATTTGTACGAAACTGTACTTTTCTGTGGTTAATAGTCTATTATGTATATAGACTATTATGCAAATTACGTGTAATTATGTGCTATCATAGAGTATTCAACAAAATATTCAGTTTTTCTACTGTTTCTTCCATTAAGAAGCATAATAGTAATCCGTAGAATGAACATTGATGAAACATATTACACAGATTCAACGAACTCAACAATAATTAACCTATTAATTAATAATTTATTATTTTGCCACCAGTGATATTTTTGTTTGTTCCTCTATCATGTGGCATTTTATTGGATTATTTAAACCAACAATACTTGCAGAGCCGAAATAGAAATGCATTTTAATCATATTCACTTTATATTTAAGTACTGATATATGTCTTTAACATTTTCCCGAATTTTTATTTTAAAAAAAATATGAAAAATAGTCTATTTAAAAGTGAAAATTGTCATCGTTTTCATTTATCATTTAGTAAAATCAAACATAGATTTACTTACCCTATTTTGATATTACTTTCTGAGTTTTTGGAATTTGAGGTCCATACTCCAATTTTATCAGTATATTTTCTAATATTTATTACAGCTCCACATACTTCATTGTCCTCTTCATCAAAGGCTTCTCCAATAAGGCACAAAAGCTAGAATATGATTTTAATTTGATTTAATCATTTCGATTTATGATTATTTCGTGATTACAGTTTTTTATTAAAACCAGGATACTAAGCAAAAATTTAAAAAAAATATATATTTATAATAAGAAAATAAATGTAATATTTATTTATTAGAATTAAAACACAGTGATTCGGTAAATTAAAAATTAAACGTTATTCATACAAATGAAGTTAGTCTGCTTTTTGTTTCTGCGCTATACAAAGACTGGCGTTTTAAAGTCACTGGATANATATATATTTATAATAAGAAAATAAATGTAATATTTATTTATTAGAATTAAAACACAGTGATTCGGTAAATTAAAAATTAAACGTTATTCATACAAATGAAGTTAGTCTGCTTTTTGTTTCTGCGCTATACAAAGACTGGCGTTTTAAAGTCACTGGATAATGTTTCTTGTCTTAATTTGATGGGTCCAATTTCTCGGTGCTTAGTTGATATAAGAAAATCACCAAAAAAAATCGCTCTGCCGTTCAATCGATTTTTTTTTGTTTATTTAACCATTCTACTTATTTCGAGTACGCGAATTAAATGTAATTTTAATATACAAAATTAATCTCATCATTGTTATCGATTGAAATAAACCAGCAACGAATTGTTCAACATTCCCTGCAACATTCTCATTTATATATATAGATTGTTCGAATAGCCTAGGAATTTATAAAGAACAAACAAACAAACATTTTTATTTATATATACAGATGATTAAATTCATATCAAATCAGTGAATCATTTGATAATAAGAAGTATTCCAAGAATAGTGTATTTTGAACGTTTAAGAATTAGTAAGTACGAAATATAATTATAATATCGAGAGACACTTACTGTTTCCAACCAGTAATCGTCTAAACTGGAATTTTTCAAATGTTTTCGTACATTAATCAGCCACCTTCCTCCTTGAACATTTCTTTCATCTTCCCACATAGGTTTAACCCCGTCCTATAGAAAAACATTGTTGACAATTATAAATTATCACTTAAAAATAAATATTATATTTTAAAAAAATTAATAAAATGAAATTACCTTGAAAATAGAATAATCGGATCCTATTGGCAAGTTACTTGGCAATATAATATGATTAAACAGACTGAAATAATAAACACGGATAACAGAGATAACGTTATGAATAATAATAATAATATAGAAACTCGATATTTTTTTATTCGTTGCGAATTTAAAAAATTATTATTATTGATAATACATATAATTTTTTTCTTCCCGGCTCTTATGTATACATAACAATGGAAAGTATTAGAATCGTATCAAATTTGACCTTCCGAAGTTTTGCAAATCTCTACGTTTTGAGGTCCCTAAACTCAAAAAAGTAAAAGAAACCGGCAAAAAAATTCAGTGGATGTGTGTGTGTTGTCATCAACGCCAATTTCGTTTAATATATCAGAATGGGGTAAAGATTAAGAAACGAAATTTGGCATGGTACCTTGTGTATAAGGGACAATTGATGTCATTAAATTTTGGTGGTTAAAGATCTAGGGGTGGGAAGATAGAAGGGAGTCATGTGTCATATCTGGAGATGGATCGGACTTAATAAAGATTTTCCTCGTTATTAGCATTTATAAATTTTTATAACACTCACCCCTATTCTCAAAATTAAGCTTTTTGCCATTTTTATAATAATTTAAAATATAAAAAAATTTTATAACATAATCTCATAACAGATGGCGCTACACACAATTTAATTTATTTATTATGATTAATAGTACAGTATAAAAGTGTTTTTAAAATAAATTATCCTTACAGCCGGGAAAGTTACGGAACTCGTTACTAGATGTTTTTTAATTATTCTTTTTATATTAATAAAAGCAGCTTAGCTACTTTTATTTTAAAACAATGAATAAAAGCATAACTAATCTAATAATTATATATTTTGAATTATGTATAGCTATATTTTCTCTTGAATGAAAACTCAATATTTTCTATTTTTATTTTATTTTTTAATATTCATCCCTTTACTGCTAGGAAATCTTATATTAAAATAGCATAATATTAGAAAATTAAATTTATATAGTAAAGAAAATTCTTTTAAACTTTAATACAGTACAGTAGTGATAATTATTAATTAAATATCATTACAGTATTTACTTAAAACAATAAACTTTTCACGTGAGTAATTTAAAGAAAGTTTCTATGCACCTTTTGCAAAAACAGTGCAGTGTTAGATATAAAAGTAGACGAATATTTGAATTAGAACTTTTTGAATGTTTTCGGTTTTTATACTTTCATATGTAGAAAAACATATAAACTTAGTAATTCAGGAGATAAGTTTAATATTTCTGGTAATAGTTATAATAATTTAAAATAAAAGGTTGTATAATTATTCGAAAATATAACAAACATGAATTTGTAATTTTATATCATCAACATATAGTAAACAGCTTATTATTTGTTTCTTTTTTAAATTTGTTACAATAGGAATCAAAAACACTGGCAATTCTTCTATTAATTTAAGTTAGCAAATTATTTAGAATAAATTAAAATGAATACTTTATCTTTAAATACTCTTTTTCGATATTTTATTACAAATTTACGCATTCAGATAAGTTAGTTGACTATCTATGACTTAAGATGACATTGAATTAATATGATGATAACCTGAATACAGATCAAGTTTTTTATTATTTACAAATATAAAACTTCATGTAAAGTATACCATGCATTTATTAAAAGAAAAAAAAATGATATAAATTAATAAATTGTAACTCGAACCAGTTTAGCAAAATTGTTCTAGCAGGATTCAAGAAAACAAAAATTCTTATAGAAATTCACTTTTTTTTCACAATTTTAATCACTTTTTAAAAGAAACTCTTAATTTTTATGAATAAAAAACTATCTCCTCTACAGTAATAAAGGATTTACACAATTTTTGCAGTTTACTTATGCTATGTGTTAATCTTATTTGGTTTAATCTTATTTGGCGATATCTAATAAATACAAATTTTATCAATTTGAAAAAATTGTATTCTTATTCTAAGATTCACTGAACTTGTCAAAGTATATAATAGAATAATGTATTAAAATAATTCTTATCTTTACAGTACAATTTTTTTAAAATATTAAATTATTAAAATAAATTCAATACTTACGACCAGAAATCTTCCACAGTATCAAACGAACTTAATTTGACTAGACTGTCTTCCCATAGCTTACTTTTCTCATTCTGATGAAACCATAAGTTCCATTTATGTTGTAGCGGATGCTTAATTTCTTTTTCTATTCTTTCACTTTCTTTCTACAAAGGAAATACGTATAATTGAAGTATAAATGATGAAAGTTTCTATCATACAAGTATTCATAATAAAGATGTCGTTAGTTAATCAAAATGTTAATATTAAACTATATCTTCGTACTGATATATAAATTAATCCAGGATAAATTTATCTATTGTTTAATTAGATTGAATTCGTTGACTCGAGACACCAAATCTAATCCAATGTACTACAGTCAACCCCTTATAACACTGTTGATTATTCCGTTTTATATGAATTCCATGTTGCACGAGTCACTTAGATTTTACAAATTCGTGTGCCGGGCTGTAAACTGCTCACGTATTTGTAAAATCTAAGTGACGCGTACAACATGGAATTCATATAAAACGGAATAATCAACAGTGTTATAGGGGGGTCGACTGGTATGTTGTTATTTTTTTATTTATTTTATACATAATGAGGAATTTCCATACGATAGATGTTATCCACCCCAAATTAACAAAAACCTCAACAGTATCTATTTTGAATAATCCAACAGGGCGGGAGCTGAGGATTTTTTTCAAAATAAATACATAATAGGGAAAAAAGGCCTTCTAAGAAGCCAAATGAGTCCACTCTACACCGGCTCCATACAAGCTCTCGACGAACTGTATGGACGTCATTTCATCTAAATCAGTGTTTCTCAACGGGGGCGATATCGCCCCCATGTAGGCATTTTTCCTTGTTGAGGGGGCGATTAGTAACAATTTATATTTTGGGGGCCGAAAAACATTTTTCTGGGCGATATAGTAAAACATTATATTAAGAATAATTAGATATTTTATTCGTTATATCGTACTATAATTAAACAAATAACATTATACTAGTCACTAGTCTATTCAATGCAGTACGAATTTGGCGTTAGTCTTGACCCTCGGCATCGGTATTTTGTAGTGAAGGGGGCGACGATTCGTTAGAGGTTGAGAATCAAATTTGAATGAAATTCAGTGAAACAAGAGATCAGCATGATGAGGGATGATTTCTCGCGCTGATATAGTAACAGCATTCGAGTAACATGTATGATATCTTTACTATTAGAGAGGCTGCAGCGCACATTCATAACATCACGTGATTCAGTGAACGTCACGCATTGACTCACGGGAAATTTGTTGAAAAAATGGCGGATACATTTAACATCGAGGTTTACCAGCGAAGGCAAATAAACAAATTAAACTATTTTAAGATATTTATAGGATGTTTAATAACACTAATTATTTTAAATTAGCGTTGTGTACCGTACGATAGGACTACATCATACGTTTGTCGAGGGAAGCAGTCAGTGGCTTATGTAAATTCGAAGGCAGCTGGGAAAATTTTTAGAAAATTTACAAACGTATTACGCTGTTGATGGTAGAAGATGGCGTGGAAGAACAAACCTACTTTAAGATAAGCTATTATGAAGACAAATATATGTAAATTCGGCACTTGTGCAGTTTAGTGGGAACGGCTGTTTGAAAGGTTTTCTTCCATAAAATTAATCGATTCTAGACTAATTTGACTCGAATATTTCCAAAACACGTATAATGTTTTGGGAATAACCCATATAAAATATGTTATAAACAAAAAATTGTCGGAATACTTACGGAGTGTACTTCGCTTGTACTGAGTGTTCGAGCCATCGCTTAAGTTTATTTTCGTCGCGGAGCTGCACATCGGCGCACGAAGCTGTCACCCAACATTTTTCGGCACTTCGGTCACGTGACTACTCATCCGACGCGTTTCCTGATAACTTATTCTTTTTGCGAAGAATTCGCTGAAGTTTGGAGACATCATTAATAGAAATATTAAAACGTCATTCCATTTTAAATATGGATTAAAATCAACATATAATAACGTATGACAATGCAATATACAACTAATGATTCTGCTCTGCTTTTAAATGGCCTAATCTCTTTCATGTCTTAAACAAAATTGAATTATATTTATTTACATCAAGGCATTAAACATCTTATGTTACATCTGACTAATATTTATCATCATAATATACAGTGTCTTATCTAGGCAGGTGTAACAGGTGCACCCGCACAGGGCCCACTTGGAAGGGGGCCCAAAATGCAAGTATTTGTTTTATTATTTTCCCAAACCTAATTAATTAAGGGGCCTAAATGCAAATTCTTGCACAGGGCACAGGAATGGCTAGTTACGGCACTGATAGTATATATCATGATAAAATTATTGTCGTTAGCGAGCGTTTTACCTTTGTTGCTTCATATAGTCAATAATAATAGTAAGTAATTTCTAATTACAATAAAAATATTATAGTATATTATGATCTATCACGTGATGTCTCCAAAGTTCAGCAAAAAAGAAGTTATCAGGAAACACGGCAGAGATGAGTAGTCACGTGACCGAACAGTGCCGACAAATGCCACGTGACAGCTTCGTACGACGATGTGTCGCTCCGCGACGAAAACAAACTTAAGCAATGGCATCTTCGAACGAAGTACACTCGGTAAGTATTCCGACAATTTTTTGTTTATAACATATTTTATATGGGTTATTCCCAAAACATTATACGTGTTTTGGAAATATTCGAGTCAAATTAGTCTAGAATCGATTAATTTTATGGAAGAAAACCTTTCAAACAGCCGTACCCATTAAACTGCACAAGTGCCGTAAATTCTATAGGCACTTGGCATTACTTGCTAAAAAATTGAATAATTAAATAATTTCTGGATTAAAATCGTCTGTTTCTTTACAATATTATTCGTAAATGCTTAAATAATCATTATTTTAATAAAATAGGTCATAACTTTAACTTCAAACACAAAAAAAAGAAGTTTAAACCAGGGCTGTGGAGTTTTGGTGTGTTAGCTGGAGTCGGAGTCGGAGTCGTCAAAAAATCCGCCGACTCCGACTCCTTTTTTACTTCTCAACTTGTTATGTATATAAAACGGAAAAGTGTTAAAATCGTGTCAAGTTTGACCCTCCAAGTTTTCTTTTGCAAATCTACACGTTTGAAGACCTCCAGAACCCCTCAAAAAAGTCAATAAAAGGGGAAAAATTCGTGCGCCTATGTGTGTTGGCGTCTAATTTGTTTAATTTTTTATTTTCTGTTTTGAGATACTAAACAATATTTCAGAATGGATAAAGTGTAAGAAATGAAATGTGACACTATAGCTTGCGTATAAAGGGGGCACTAATACTATTAAATTTTGGTTTATAATTAAAGGATCGACAGGCGAAGACATAAAAGTGGTCATGTGTCATATCTCTTAATGAATATTTTACCGTTATTAGCGTTCAAAATTTAAATAAAAAAATAAAATTCGTCTCTACCCTCAAAGTAAGATTTTTCGTCATTTTATAACAGTAGGCCTACATTAAAACCCGTTAAGATGTTCTCGCCTAAGATGTCAGAATGTATATGGGACATGATTTAGTTCAACTACTTTAACGCTTAATAACTAACTCTTATGTTAAACCATCTGACTCCGATTCTGACCACTTTGACCACAGAAATTATTAGGCTTCAAACAGGGTGAACAAAATCATGCCCCAAACACAGTCTAACATCCACACATATAGAAAAATCCTCGAATCTTTTGTATATCTTGCAATTTCACGGTGTCCTGAGTCCAAAATTGTAAAAATTTTTGACCGAGCGCTACACTTTCCCTCTGTTATATATAACAGCCAGAAAAGCAAAAATTATCGAATACATATTTATATATTACTTAGAGGAGTCTTTTAGCTTTGGAATAAAAAGCTTCTACGTTCTATCTTTATTAGGCCCTGTACACACTAGGCGTTTTTCAACGCGCGTTAAACGCTCGTCGAACGCCGAGCGTTTAGCGGAGCATGCGCACTGGCTCGGTTTGGAAATGGATGTGGAAGTGATTGCTTGTGTGTGGCTCCTCTATCGTCGCTATAAAAGACGACGGCGGAGGCAAAGAGAATTTTGGGTGCACCCAATATTACGAGATAGACTGACGCATGAAATGTTTGCGACGTTGTATCCAAAACTAAGACAAAATAAATTCAAGTTTTTTAATTCTTTTAAAATATCTATAAAATCCTTTGACGATGGTTGGTCTCTTTTAGATTTCATCAATAAATAGATCAGTATCGAAATGATCGTTCTCCATTTCAGCACATATATCTCAAAGCGCTCGGCTGACGCCCGCAAAACGCGCGATCGCATGTACGGTAACATGGCAGCACATATATCTCAAAGCGCCCGATAAGCGCTCGCAAAACGCGCGTTTAACGCGCGCTTGGCTTTTGAGTGTGTACGGCTACATAGAACTCTTGGTTCTTTAAAACGCGCGTTTAACGCGCGTTGAAAAACGCCTAGTGTGTACAGGGCCTTAGAACTCTATTTATCGAATCTTTTATTCTGAGGTCACGTGATGACATCAGAATTTCCGGGTGTCTTTCGGTAACATGTCCGGGGCCGGGTCGGCGTCGGAGTTGGAGTCGGTAAATTTTTACGCGACTCTACACCCCTGGTTTAAACCGATCTTCTACTCGTCATGCGAACGCCATTATCGACCGTCTAGAATTGCCAGATGGCGGCGCTCCACCGTCCACCGTTCACGTTTTAGGCTGAATACGACGGCCGCAACCTCTCTATTAGTTAGATACTGTACTGTACATATAAATCACGTGTTATAAATGAAATTTAAACTGATATTAATTTTATACATTGCATAGAACTACATTTAAATTTTAATATGACTGTGTATAATAAATGTTAAAGGTTTTGAAATTATTTTTCACACAAAACAGAAATAAGTACTGTATATAAAATTCAAACGAAAAAAGAGAGAGAAAATAGAATTAATCCATTAATAGTAAAAAACAATGTTTATTATAAAAAAATAAACTGTTTTACTAAAATTATTTTCACTGTAGAAGTTTCAAAAAATAAACAAATAAATAATGTTTGTCATATTTTCCAAATCGGTCCTAAACATCAATGTTTGAATATGTAAAAAGCTTGAGCAGGCGACTTACTGTATATTATTATATTATTCGAAAAATTATTTTATTTATGAAGGTTGATTGATAAATATTCTATCGGAACGTTTTGCGAAGTGCAAGAATAGAAATACGTGATCCTTTACGAATACTGTTATGATGTGAAGTCTCAGATTTCAATTCGTTGTACTATGTTGTAATAAGCAAGTTTAAACACGAACTTGTCTTTCTCACTCTATAGAAAGCAACGAACAATCAATTTTTAGCGTTGAAAGGTTGGGCACAATGAAAACCACATTTCATCAATTTTGTGAAATATTATGAAAGCTTACGAGCACAGAAAAAAAATTAGCAGAATAAGAAACCAGAACAAACTGTTTTTTTCCTCCACCGTGATGACACAACAGAACACTGCAATAATAAAATAGCGAAGACGCTTAAGAACTTGATGTTACATCCTTTGCACCATTCTTACAATGCAGATCTGGTGCTATTAGACTTCTTGTTCCAGAATGAAATGTGGTGTTGAAAGATCAACGATTTTTATAAGATGCCGAAATTCCAGCTGCTGGAGGAAATGCGTCAAAAAAATATCAGACTTTTTCATGCATGGAATGGAAAAATGGGTTAAACATTTGAAAAATGTGCTAATCACACTACATCTTAAACACTTTTCCAGCACTAGGTTAATGAAAACAAACCTTTTCGACCCCGTTCAGAAGTCTGTCTCAGGTTAAAACGTATTAAAATACAAATTAAAGAAAAGAACTGAGTTCTAATGATAGAACTATAACTGCCATTTTTAAATTTACAAAAGTTAAAAAACAAATTTGTATTGTGTCCTTTTCATTAAAAAAAACTTTTTGGACAGACGTTATGCTCACGGGATTGAAAATTTGCTGCAAAGGTAGCGAGATGTTATTGATATTGATGATTACCTAAAACAGTGAATTATAATCGTTGTTGAGTAATTGCCAATAAAGTTCACCCCTAAATGTCTAAATTTCATCTCATATAAACATTTTGCAAATTGAATACAATCGAATGTTTTAAATTCGAATACCAAGTAGAATTCGAAACACTGAATTATCAAAAACTCGAATTATACTTCGAAATATCGAAATTAATTAAACTAGTTCTCTACACATTTTTAATATTGAACACTATTCCATATTTTTTGACCATATGACATTTTCTCCACATTTTCCATTCCTTTAATCATTTAAAATTTTTCAGCTAAAGATGTGTATCTTGTACAATTAGAAATCGTACGTAGTTAATCAACATCAACTGGACTCAAATATCATTAAAACTGCAAAACGCTTCATTACTTTGCTGACATCTTAGGCATTTACAAAACATATGCGTTCGGGGATTCTCCAAAATGCTTTGCATTCTATAAACCAAATTAATCAGATTCGATTATATTATCGTTTATAAGCATTATAAATCTTGAAAAAATTTACTGTAATAATTTCTATGCGTACGGTCAGATTTAATAAAAAGAATGCAACAGTCTGATATGACTAAATACCGGTATCTTTCGGCAGGCATATTCAAATGGCAAATGAAGGAAATGAAAGAACGCCATATTCTATCCATCATATCTTTCCAAAAACACAGATTATTAATTAACGTCGTGGTGCTGATAAATCTTAAATTGTTAGAAAAAACATTTTAAAAGAGACTTAAAAGGTGATTGGAAGGTTGGGAACGTCTTCAAACTCCGCTTTCTTATTTAACTTTATGATGGCCGAACAAAGAGAGTTAGTACACATGACTATATGCTCTCAGAAGTGGATAACCTATTTAGTCTCCTTTAAACGCCATTTTAAAAGTAAAATGGCGTTTAAGTCTTTGAATAGTAATAGATCCTATTTTCATGCTCATCACGAGTTCGGGCAAGAATATCTTTGGTTTTGTTTTTTTAATTAACTCCTTCCGCCCTGTGAACACTAAGCGGGCCTCTTTTAGCAAGCCTTATGGGTTCGGCCAGGCCCACAATGGGGCGGCCGGGGCCTAACATATCCCGGATGGATCACCCCTGAAAAATTCCGGGGATTTTTCGATCCCTGGTCCCAGCATCTTTTAAAATTTCTGAGAAGGCAATCCAGACTCGAATTAGCTCCCATATAGCGACAGGCTAACGCTTTGCCTCCGCTTCTATTAGTCTTAATTAAGTATATATGATGAATTTTTCTCATTTGATTTTGCAAAGAAAAATATTAAGAAAGAAAACTAACTTGAGATTTTTCGGTAGACATCTTTTTTTCAAATTACACTTAATATCCAATATTCTTTTTATATAATATCAAACGATTAATACTTTCGAATATTGTCTTCAAATTAAGTTCTCGAATATTCCAGATATTTGAATTCCGATATAGACAACTTCTAATTGGATGATAAATATCGTGATCCTGAGCGTGCATTAGTTCTAAATTATGCCGTTACGGCGAACAGCGCCAATGGCGGGAACTAGATTTGCGTCAGTTACCAACGTGTAGACCGCGAGCCGTCGTTAATGTCAATTTCTTCCGCATCGTGGCGCATATGCAACGACGCCTTTTCCCCCGATCCGAAGAGTAAAACTATAGCGTTTATCATTGTTTATGCTACTGTCAAAGTCGAGGAACTCGTTATACTTTAAATAAAATGGAATGTAGTGAGTGTGGTTTAAAATATAGTCATAGACAAAGTTTAAACTGGCGTATTAAGGCAAGAAAGCACATAAAGGAGGACGACAGCAATGAGAAAAATATTAAAGTATTTAAGTGTAGGTTGTGTTTACCTGCGTAACACAAAAAAGTACAGTATTTTAATATTGATGCCCCAATATCAGGACATATTGTTCTATCAGAGACAGTACACGTATCGTATATAATTAAAATACGGGTATAGCCTATATGTTACGGCCAAAGTCCGAAGTTCGGCCAGTTCCTTAATTGGCTGGCCATTTCGCACTTTGGCCGTGAGGAGTGGCCAAGGTCCCATGTATTTGAAATGACCACTGTATATGCTACTTACCGGCCATTTTGCGAAGTGGCGGGAAATCCCTGGTCATAATTCGATGTGCTAATGCAAGATTGTCCGGTAGGCGGGACACCTTTCGCTTCCGATGTGATGGTGGCATGCCCGTGCTAGCAAGGAAGGTGCCACATTGTGACGATAATATTCCTTATATCTGCTACTTTTCGGAGAAAGTCCTTTGTGACTTGTTCTTATTATTCTGGCATAGCGGTTTCATTGTGAGTACAGTACTGTATTCCTCGTATTTCTATATTATTCTATGTGAATGCTTTCAGTTCAAAGGTTAAATCGTAGGGTACGTGTAATATGTGTTGTGGGTACGTGTGATGACACATTACTAAAAGGAGCATACAGTAATTATACTGAATTTAATAAAGGATTGTTTGCTACGACACGTTTTTCTTTAAGGAACGTAGTAAATTAGCAACAGAACACAATTTACTTGGCTGTATTCCATATAACAATGCATTACAATTTCAAATATTCACAAATGTTATTCCATAGGTTGTCCCACGGCTACTTCTGACGGGAGGAATATGCTGAGTGAAATTGGACTACACGTAAATGCGGAACCAATATTTGATATGAAAATCAGGTTCTCGGATGCTTTAAATACATTGTTTCAAGTAAAAGCAAATTAGAACGGGATCTTCACCAGAGGTAAACACAACGCTTTTATAGAAGACGTTAAATTATGCAAAAACAAAGCAGAAAAAAGTAAGTGTTGACTATCGTCGACTAAGAAAATATGATGTTATTGATGTTGACGGCAAAGAAAAACTTATTGTACCAATAACAAGACACAATAACGATATTTCGGGGGTGGTCCGTCCGGATATGTCGGGCCCCGTCTCTCACCACCCGGCCGCCCCATTGTGGGCCTGGCCGAATTCATAATGTGCTTGCTAAAAGAGACCCTCTTAGTGCCCACAAGGCGGAAAGAATTTAAAAAAAAAATACTATTTAAAGATACTGGCCACTTCTCTATGAAGCAAAAACGATAAAGTGTTATTATCGAGAAAGCGTAGGGAGTTTGTTTGGGTGATTTCGGAGACTGAAATTGCTTTATATATTCAATACGTGTTTCTGATCACGGTAGCAGCTGCATTTTACACAATAATTTCGTTTTGCAAAGTGACGAAAGTCTTCATTTGTAGAAAGATATGCTACAGGAATATGCTAATGAAGATTGTAACAATGACAAGAAGGTAAGAGGAGAGCGGCTGTGGAAAAATTTAAATTTAAATTAAAATAACTGATGAACTATTTTACGGAGGGTGGTTTGCTAATTGTTACTCACTTTTTCGCTTAGTTTCTTTCACAAAGCACCCGTCGATGAATTGTCTTTGTCTGATCGACGTGTTCTTCATCTTGTTGGCTGACAGCATGACATCGCCGTTTCCATGATTCTAAGAAATCTTGCTTAGTTGCATAGACACGAATCCCATATAGCATAATTCATAAAACTTTCTCATAACTTATAAAGAAGTGTTTAAGATAAATAAAATTAGTTATTTTAATGAATAACATTTTTTAATGCAAACAATTCAAAAATTCTGCTTTGTTCCCCAAGGCAACGTTTTACTGTTTATGACACAAACCAGAAAACTTACAAACATCATTTTTTAAAATGTACAAAAGCTTTTCTCTTTGTGCGTGTTCTTTTCACGTTACTCGTCGACTAAGTATTTAATTAAAATAATTTCATTTAAAAAACCTCTTTTCTTGCAATGTGATATATGAAACAAGAAGGTAACTTTTCAAAATGTACGTAATTAATCTCGTCTATACAAAGAATAAAAAAGCAGGTCTTCACATGCAAAGTGTAAATTTTCTATGTGTTTGTGCTGCTTCTCGGTCGTAGTTTTCGAATAAATTCTAAGATAATCCAGTTTCAGTTATCTTAATATTCAAGCTATTTAAATCTAAATATTCTAATGAAATTTCACAGTGTAGTCAGAAATTTCGACGATTTAAATGAAACATTCAAAATCTATTTGACTCTACAAAAAGTATAGCATTCAATCTCCCTCGCTGGCATGTAGAACTCTAGCCTCTTCATCAAGACAAAAAAAGAACAATTTGCATATTTGAGCGGTGTGATTACACGGCTCAAATATGCGCGCTAAAAAATCGTCCTAATGATGACAGTCAAGAGGGATTCAGTCCGGAATACCATGTTTTCCATGTGCGCAACCATGTTAATTCAGCACAAGGCAATTTTCACGACATATTAGAATGTTACTCTCAAAGCATACTTTTCAGCACTCAGCAATAATAAAGGAACAAAAACGATGCTGTACTTAACCCCGAATGAAGAAAACTCCTGTGTGCTATCACTTTCTTTGTCTCCTGTGCATATTCGTTCGTCAAATATCTCAAAAATCTCGATTGGGAACATTTGAAGAATTAAGAATATTTATCTATAATACATTGAAGCATATCGATGACATAGTAAGAACATATTATGCCATCGATAACGCATTGTTCTTATTTGCGTTTATGTTATTTTATAATATTTTCAGTATTTTATAATAAACTAATTCTATAATAAATTTGCAGTACAGCATTTATTACTTAATAGGCATGTATAATGTATACGTATCCATTCTTAAATTTTTCTCACTGTTTATTTTTGAGATAATTTTCTACTCTATTAGTGGCTTTGAGGAAAAACAACTCTTACCAAAGTAAATCAATCTTAATATTTAGTTTTCCACATTTATGTAATCTATATAATTTTGTTTGTTAATTTTTAATTTGATTTTTTATGCTCTGGAATTTTACTTTTTAATTGATGAAATCATATTAACTGATATCTGACTAGAGAAAAAAATCTTCCAGTCTTTTTGCTCTGCGAATAAATGGAATATCTGCGGTTTGAGTGAATCAGGATAGACTGATATTTCCGGGCTGGACTGCAGTTGAAGCAGAAAAATTATACTGGGACTTGAAATGGGTCTTTCAGATTGGCAAGCGCGCTTCAGCTAATCAGCCATCTATTTATCAAAGAATTTATTAATTGGTGTAGTTATTGATTGACATGATTGATTAGTATCGGCACGTTAATTAAAATTGAAATAGTTGAACAATTTATTTATAAAAAGTATAGGGTTTAAAAAACCAATTATTTTTCATTACCTAGTTATTAATTTTTACAATATACATTAACACAATACTAAGGAGGAATTGAACGGGTACGAAATAAATAACATGCAATGTACTGTTTCATTTTAATTTTATATAATTTTTTAGTTTTTCACAAATGGAAAAAATTAAACCCTCAAACCCCATTACTAGGGTTTCTTTCCCGGGATTCTCGCCGTTTATTCCCTACGAAAAAAATTCCGGGAAATTTAATTTTCCCGGGAAATCTCGCATTTCAATAATAATTTACCATGTAAGGTTTTCTTTCTATTATTTATTATACGAAAAGTTGCATCTTGAAGACTCACCTAAGAGAGAGGTTTCTTGAGGTTTCTTGCTGCATATTATTACCTATGTTTTACAAGTCTCTACTTGTTAGTTCATGTAATATCTATGTATTGTGTTTGCGCATCATTGAACAGCGGAGACTTGCTGAAAGTAAATATCACTCATCGCACTTTAGTTTATTTTTTATTTCATCTTTAGAAGTAAAATAGTATTTTTTTTGTAATCATTAAAACTCCCAATGAAACGCTTTATTTTACTTTCATCTTATAATGTAGGAGAACATAAATTAATTGAGCCTAACGTGTCCGTATGGGTGAGATTGGCCCTACACTTTTAGTTACTTACTAGAAAATAAATTAAATTATTCAAATTTATGATATTCCTGTATGATCTTTTTTATTCATATAAAATTCTATTTTACTATCTCATCCCGGAATTTCCCGGGATCCCGGAAAAAGAAATTATTTTTCCCGTAATCCCGCTGGAGGCAAATTTCCCGGGAAATGAGAAACCTTAGAGATTACGTATAAATGTAAGAGAGACTAATATTTTTACCATTATGTTTATGTAAAAAATAAATGTGAAAAATTTTTAAATATATTAAGTTTTTATTTCTTTATAACAAAGCGATTCTTACTTTTAAAATGATCTTTTATACATAATTCCATCTGTACTTCATTAGATTTTTTTTTTTTTTGAATTTTTTCGTTCTGGATGCACTAAGAGGACTTTTTTTTTCTGTACTCATTATGAGTTTGATCAATCCTACTATCAATAAAAAATATGGGAGGCGAGGAACGAGGACCAATTTATTGTCCGAAAGAGACCAATTGTCAGGAACTTTTCATGAACCGCTCATGAAAAATTCCTAGTGTTGTTTACACGGAATTGATGCCGTAGCTCCAGAGCGGTAGTTTCACACTTTAATCGCCTTGGACATCCGCATATCTATTTCTTTTTCTGTTTTTTTTTT